ATATATAGATAGATAGATAGATAGATAGACAGATAGATGCTACCGTCGAAGCGTTAAAAATTCGCCAAAATCTAACGCTGAGAGCACATAATAACGAAGCGTAAGGCGACTGATTGGAAAGAAGTCAAAGAAAGATCCATCAGAAAGACGAACTCAGATGGCCTGCTCACATACTCACATGTTCGCCACATGTCTTATCACATGTCTTAGCATTAAACGGTGCCAGTTTACCGGCCGTGACATGCCCCTGCAAAAATCAAGCGGGGTGGCCATTTTGGTGTCCTTACAGGAATGTGGTGTTTTCGGCCTATAACCATGCACAGGATAACCAACTCTGGAAAGCCACAGGTCAAATTAGGTTTGCGTTCCACTTTGTCGAACGCAAAAATGCTGTCAATAGTTTGACTGACTTCATTAATTTATATTAAATTCAGCTTTCTACCCATAAAAAATTAAAGACAGATCGTAAGAAAAGTACACCATCGTCTTTAAAAAGATGTACATGTTACACATTATTCAACCACTTCAGTGAATAATATAATATAGAAAAAATAAGCTAACTGAAGTAAAACACCAAGCCAGACGTAAATGTATTCAAATGAATGGTACTCAAATGAATATTCATAAATATGGCCGGGAGGAGCAAAGTCAGTGACTATGCACACCTACATTGCTTATTCAGTATTTATAGTGTGTCTAACATCTTTGAAAACAATTGACGGACACGAATTTAAGACACAGAAATGTTGCCTGAATACTTAAGTTTAGATGATGATTCGATTTCTGTTACTCAATCAAAAATATATTTTATAAAGAATGTAATTACAATGTTCTGGGGATTCTCTGACTCTTCAACGAATGTTTGGAGTGTTTTATATTAACTTAAGGTTTTTAGATACATGTTGAATTCCCTTTTAGTTCTATATTCTTCAAGTGATTTATGTTTATCTGATGAACTCATAAAGAATATTACCCTTTACCTTCTCAGCAACCTGTCTACATCCACTTTCAGGGCGAAGAAGATTGCAATTTGGTAGGAAAAAGCTGGGAAGGTCAATCCTTGCACAGGCATCAATGAGTCTATCCAATGCCTGAACTACCCTCACACCTAGATAATCGCTTTGCCACTGTGAAGCATGTGAATATTCTTGGTACATCCCATACAGGATGGTTTTTATCCAGTATGTGGGTAAGCCAGTCAATGGAGCACCAGTTTCCGGGTCAATTTCTGTCAGCCGTTCATCTCGAAGAAATTTCAGCAAGCGCATGCATCTGTTCTGGCCATCAGGATAAGGATATTGCTTCATTATTCTTTGTTCTTCTTTGGAGAAGGACATCCTCAGGCAAAACCTGGTGAGCAGCAACACATGGCAAGACAGCATATTGGCAGCTGCATGTGCTGGAGGCTCTGAGGGGAAGTACACATATGAATCTCTTTTGTCGAAGAGTGTAGGTATGGCTAGGCAAAAATCAAGACTCACTTCCATATTTCTATAGATGTTTCCACTCCAGATTAGGTGTGGAGTTATAGCAACTTTTTGCTGCATTGCCCATGATAGCTCTTTCATCCGACTGTATCCACCATCTCCTGGCACACCAGATGCTGAGAAAGCAAAATATTTTGATCTATCAGGAGCAACCTTAGGTGCCATGCTCCAGTTTGGTGGCAGATTATCCTGAATATAATCCATCACAATCTTCTTTAATGCCATGAAGAAATTCACGGAAAACTGGGAAATGCTTTCACTATGGGCAGAAGGATAAATGTCGTGAAAAAAATTCACATCTTTCACCCTGGCATGCCATACATAACCTTCCATAGGATTGTCTCTTATCTCTATAATATCTTTGCTCAGAGCAGGAACCTCAATCATGTAATCAAATTCATCAGGGTTTCCTATTTTCACACCTTCATAAGTACTCCCTGTCTTCAGTAAACTGCTTCCTTCGAAAAGTTTGAATTTTCTGCTTAAGTTGGAAACCACCCCATTTGCAATTTTTTCTACATCTTCCTGTATTTTTCTGGCTTCCTGGTTACTTTTTGGTGGAGAACACTTCTTCTCATTTTCTTTGATACACTCAGAAAATGTATGTCTGTCCAATTTTTGGTAAATCTCCTGTTCACTCATTAGCTTCTTTTCTGGAACATCATCTTTCCATGGCTCATGTTTTCTCACTTGAGCATAGTACGTCCGACTTGGAACAGGTTTTGCCATCTTGGAGATGTTATAGAAACAAGCACCATCTACCAATAAAAAGGAAGTAAACATTGTAACTATGTTCGGAACTAAGATATAGAGACAGTTATTAACTAATCAAAATGGGCGTTTGTCTAGTGTCCTAAAATAATCATATTTCAACTATTAACTGAAAATCGGTGTTCCATGAACCAAATTATCTTTAACAGTTCAGTTCAATACTTGTAAGGCTCCTCAGTCGGGAATTACTCTGGCTCTCAATCAGTTTGTGCTGACATCAAAAGCACCAGCTTCTGTCTCTCCAATAACAATTCAATTCAATTTTAATTTAAACTCTCACAAACATTAATTTTACAGAGGAGTCAGAAAAAAAAAATGGAATACATACAAATATATACAAATTACACATAGAAGATGATAAATAGCATTAATGAAATAATTAACCATTGTGATAAAAAAAAAAACAAGTGTTAAAGAGAGAAAGAAAAGAAGATAAAGGAAAACAAATAGTTTTAATACAAGGTTGATTGTGTGGAGTCTGGGACACCTAAATAGTTTATGGAGCTAATTGAGCAGGTGCCCCAAAGTAAATAAATTTAGCAAAAGGAATACAGTGTTAAATAAACAGTTTAGGTTAAAAATATTACTTTAAAACCTCACTACAAAAAATAATTACATTTCAATTTAAGAACTAGTAATATTACTATAACTGTCAATAATTTTTTTCTTAATTTGCTTGTCAGTAATTGATAGTGAGTTACGGAGGTTGTTACCAGTGTAATGAGGAGAGTGTATACCATATTGGGTAGTTCAAACTGATTTTGTAATCAAATTTTCATTCAGTGACTGACGTGTAAAATATGCAGACGATATCAGTTTGAAGAAATCAAACAAGCATGAAGCAGTTAGTTTATGAAACCACTGATAAACAAAAGAAAGAATTTCTGAGTGAATTATATCATTAAAGTTTAACAGATTAAGAGATTTCAACAATGGTTCTCAATGTGACAGGTTCTGAGAATACCATACCGCATAATACCACACTGCACTAATCCTCTTGCCTGTATTATCCAAGCAGCTGTCCACAAGAGCTACCTGAACTTTGCGCAATAGCCCATCAGAACTAGGGTAGACAGCTGATACACATGCAAGTTGCCAAGCACTGCAGGAAGATTTTCATCTTTAAGCAAAACGACGTCATCGATACAGAAATTTATCAGAATGCGTGTCCACTTCTGACGCTGCTGTAGGGTAAGGAGGAACTCTTTCTCAAGCGTGTCCAGACTCATTCACCAAATGCTGAACTCACCTCCAACACTTTCAGCAATAGATATCCGCTGGCTGGAACACACCTGGTGGAGCAAGAACGACCTTTGATTTCATCATCAGCAAATGGTTAGGAGTCCAGGAACTTAGCAAATCCAGGTCAGAAAGCTGAGTGACTCATCGTCTAGCTGCATTCTGTTATCCTGAAGAAGGGATGAAAGGACGTTACGCACGGATCTGATTTGATGCTCCCACACACCTCCCATGTGCCTTGCTGAATGTAGAACATTCATGTTAAACGAGAACCAATCGCACTGTTCTTCCAGAAGCTTGGTTTTAATCTTTTGCTGGTCTGTTTCGGATAAGGCTTGCGTAAGTTCCCTGCGAGCTCCCACGAAATTTGTTCCCTGATCACTCCTTAGCTGGCAGATTGGACCACGACGACTGATAAATTGTCTCAGGGTATCAATGAATTCGAAGGAGTCAATCTCAAGGGGGTTAGTGAATTTGAGGTGTATTGCTCTCGAGGCCATACTTGTAAGTGAAGAGGACGTCGTAGTGCTTAAGCTCCTTGCTACCTTCTTTAATAATGAAAGGACCAAAATAGTCCACTGTGCAGTAGGTAAAGGGCAGAGTAGATTCAAGGCGATCCTCGGGTAAATGTGACATCCCTTGTTCCTACACTGGTCCATGCAGTCTCTGACACTTAACACAGGATGAGATCATACTGGAATCGATGAACCGTTTATTACCTAGAATCCATTCGATCCTCCTTCATTTAGGGTAATGCTTTTGCCTGGATGACTTGCGCGTTCGATCGTGAAAATTTTTAAGTTAAGTTTGGACGTCTGAGGCGTCCACCAACACGCAAAACTCCATCAGAGTTTACGAACGGATCACGCTTGTACAGAGCACTGAATGTTTTCTTGCTAGCCTTTCACTGCTGAGCGAAGACTCTGCTGTTGGGGTCATAATTTTCCTGATAAAAGAGGTGTCATCCCATGGAAAGAATCTACCTATCGAAACAAACTTATTTCTATCATGGGAGAATTAGAGATAATTGATATCTTCCGAAAACAATACCTGCAAAAGTCGAGCTTCTCTTATGAATCCAAAGCATTGAAAGTCTGTTCAAGAATAGATTTCTTTCTTGTTGCTCTCTCCTTCTCCAACTGCGTCGTTAACATAGATACAAGACTTCCAACGCACCTGACCACAAAGCAATAGAGCTTTCTTTACAACTTTCGGAAGAGAGGCGGGGTCCAGGCCTATGGAAGTTTAACAACTCTCTTGTTGATGGTGAAGAATATGTCAATCGCATTAAAGAAAATTATGCCATTACAGGTGAAAAATACCGAGACCTGGATGATCACAGACTAAAGTGGGAGCTTATTAAAATGGAAATAAGGAGCCACACTATTGTCTATTCAAAAAACAAAGCCAAAACACAACGCAAACGGGAATCGGATTTGCAAACCCGCCTAGAGGAACTAGGAAAATTAAAAGGATTTTTGACAGCACCAACGCTGAATTTATCAACGATGCACTAAATGAAAAGGAAATTCTAAAACAACAACTCATTGTATTCTACGAGGAAAAAGCGAAGGGCTTAATGCTACGTTTTAAAACCAGATGGACAGAAAGGGGTGAGAAACCTACGAAATATTTCTTTAATCTAGAAATTACAACAGAAAAAAAAAAAAAGTAGAATTAGAACTCTCNAAAACCAGATGGACAGAAAGGGGTGAGAAACCTACGAAATATTTCTTTAATCTAGAAATTACAACAGAAAAAAAAAAAAAGTAGAATTAGAACTCTCGAACGGAAAACATCTACACAAAGAAGACGAACCAATGAAAGAAATCGAAAACTTGTATGGAGACCTCTATATTCCTACTGGGGTTATTGAAGATAACCGGTTTGAAAATTTTGTCCACAACTTGGAAAGACGAAAGCTGCAGGACTTAGAAAAAGAGTTGCTAGAAGGTGAAATTACTCTGGAGGAAGTTTTAAAAACCTTTTCCAGCGGAAAATCGCCCGGTGAGGACGGTTTTACCTGGGGGTTCTACAATTGTTTTTTCGACTTATTGAGTGAGGATTTAATCAATTGCTATAATGTGGCTTATAGAGAAGGAGAAAATAATGTCAATATCTCAGCGTAGAGGTACTATTACAGCACTCTTACACCGAAAGAGGATTCAAATTTACTTAGCCTGGCAAATTGGCGACCGATTAACTCTATTAAACTTGAACTACAAAATCGCGTCGAAAGTACATGTAATAGCCAAGAGATTAGAAGGGTATTAAAATGTCTTATCAATCCGGACCAAACTGGATTCATAAAGGGAAGATATATCGGCCAAAATATCAGGTTAATTAATGACATTCTAGAGCAAACCACAGTCCAAAACATCCCTGGAATACTCCTCCAACTTGAATGGGAGTTTATTCAAAAGACGCTTGCTCTCTTTAATTTTGGGAACAGTATTCAACGGTGGATATCAACTCTGTATGCCAATCCGGAGAGTTCCGTTATGAATAATGGCTTCTGTACCAACCTATTCCAACTGTCAAGAGGTGTGAAACAAGGTTGTCCCCTGTCGCCTTATCCATTTATTCTGGCTGTGGATATCTTGGCATGCAAGATAAGGCAAAACAAAGAAATACAAGGTATTCAGATTTTTAAAAAAAAATTCAAAATAAGCCAGTTCGCTGACGACACCTCACTTTTGTGTAGCAGTTGCGAATCTGTTAACAGAGCTACCCAAGTGTTAAGTGACTTCGGTGATGCTTCCGGTCTAATATTAAACCCGTCCAAAACTAAAGCTTTGTGGCTTGGGCCTTGGAGGCACAACGTAGAAGAGCCTTTTGAATTCCACTGGCCTAAGGTGCCAATTACAGCGCTGGGAATATTTATCTCTTACTACCAAAAACAAAATGAAGGAAAAAACTTCAATGCAAAAGTGGATAAATTAAGCACTATTCTTGACATCTGGCAATCCCGCAGCCTTACTTTGTTTGGGAGAGTTCTTATAACTAAATGCCTAGGAATTTCACAGCTGGTGTACTCAATGTCGATTCTTGACACACCTTCCGAATATATCAAAGCCACTAACTCCCTTCTTTTTAAGTTTATTTGGAAAAAAAAGCAAGACCAAATTAAACGAAAATTAAGGTCCCTTGAATATAGCGACGGAGGTTTGCGTGCTTCAAACATTGAGGTAATGTCCAAGTCATTAAAACTTGCCTGGATCGCAAGACTTTTAAAAACAGAGCAAACTTGGGAGGAATCCTGGAGGACGATTCCCAAATATTTCTTGAACAAATATGGTGGCCTGAACTTTTTTGTTAAAATGCAATTACAATAAAAAACTTCTGAAGCAAACCAACTTACCACAATTCAACAACAATTTTTAGAGATTTAAGTAGCCTACAATTGTGCCATTGGCCAGGAAATGGTATTATTTAACGACAAAGAAATCTTAATTGGAAATCAAACCATTTTCTTTTACAAAGAATGGTTTCAGAAAGGAATTTTCCTTATACAAGATCTTTTAAAGGAAAATGGCCAATTTCTTACTTTCCTAGAGTTCATCCAAAGTACGAGGTTGAACGCCATTGTTTAAATTATATGCAGGTTGTTTCCGCGATTCCTAAGCACCTTCTCAAAACAGCAAAAGAAAAACAAGTAGATAAAAGCACCTTTCTCGCCAAAAATGCATTCCAACTCTCTCCGTATACCGTCATGGACTCGCACAAAATGAAAAGCAGAGACTACTAT